AGTCATTCCATAAGTTTGAATTGCTACAAAATATTGCGTATTCGACAGAAATTAGTAATTTAGATCAGCACAACCTGTCGGTGGCTTAAATCAACTACGATGATTTTGGTTCAAAAACTGGCTAGGTACAAATTTAACATGGGGATGGAATGTCTAGTTATTACATCCTAAATTTCATTAATAGCCCTTATACATCCAATGTGCTCACTTTATCCTGCAATTTATCCCACATTTAAATGATGATTAAAGAAAGGAGGCTTTTGAGACTAAAGATTATACCTTTAGAATAGCACAGTCGACTAAAACGTAACATTCATGTAGGTAGTTGTTTGAATTCATGCATTTCCTAAAAATAATGGACAATGTTTATAACTGTGCTACCATTGGAATCTCAGAAATAATTAGATTTAGAGAAAACATTAAAAAGAGAACTTAAAGTATTTTGAATTCTGCCTTTACAAAAATGGCCCACCATTTTCCCAAATGGCAGATAACTTAAAAATGGCTTTTATAACACCTTGTTTAATATTATTATTTTTGAATTTAAGTTAAATAAAAATGTTTTTATTATTTCACATTGCCTCCCTAAATCTGCTTGTTTACGATTTACAGCATAAAAAAAGGCTTACTGTGAACATTCTACATACTGTAACTCCTAAACGAGTTAGTTTGGAGAGAAAACTGCAAGAGTAAATAGGTCTTAAAACTGCATCTTAATTTAAAATTATCATAAAATTAAAGTGTTATGTAAGAAATATATAGTTAGCCAAGATTTTTGAAGAAATGGAATTCATATTTTTTTTTTTATAAAATCGTTTAAGTTCTTCTCCCTTCAATGTTTTCTCTAAATATAATAGTTTTTAAGATACTAATGTTGGCACAGTTAAGTTGTTCACCCTATATAGCTGTATGTTTAGTGTTTGGTGTATTTGTTTGGTGTTATTTGTATAGGTTTAGTATATTTTGTTTAGAAAATTAGTAAGGTTAGTCTTACAAAACATTCTAAACAGTCACAATTGTCAAAACTTTCATCTTCACATAAATTAGTGCTGTGGCTGCATATTAACTTAGTGATGTAGTATTAATAACACTATTAGATCACGTCTAACGTTTTACAGACGTTGGATTGAAATATGTTTTATAATTTATCCTAAATTGTAGCCAGTTTTCAATAGAAATGAGCATGTTGGATTGAGCTCTCCGAACTGTTTTTCCCATCACCGTCCCCAATCCTGCAAAGAATTCTTCAGATCTCATAAAGTTCCAACCTTCCCGTCGATTTACATTTTAGAAACATTATCATTTATTAAAAAATAACCCAATCATAGCTCTCCAAATATCCATATTTACCCTCTCCGCAACAATTTTAATCTTTCAATACCACGACACTCAACCACTTTCATTTAGAAAAACTTCAATTTTATGCAGTAAAACTTTTTAATTGTCTCTCCCTTTGAAAGCCAAACAGGATATCGGAAAATTCAATAAATGTCTTAAGCCCATCTTAATAAATAAGGTTTAGGTCCGGAAATTTGCTGGTAGTCTTGATTAAACATCAAAAGGGGTTGTGCTTCACGACTGAACAATTTGTATATCTATTACTACTTATTAGCCAATACAAAATCTTGTTAGTCCGGCTGAATAAAGGACTTTGAGAGTCATTCAGATAAGAGTCCTTATTAAAGATAGACTTTGAGTCTCCAACAGATCATTTCACTCACCCCACTCTCAACATCTTCACTAGAACTACCACATTACACTGTCCCCAAGGTATTAGTGATACAGTTCCAGTGTGTTTATTACCGACTTAAACAGATTAAGCAGTAAAACCCGGTGGGAGCAGGTAGGTGCGTGGTAGGCAGTAGGTCAAGGATAAGGATGCTCAAATGGTTGCCCAAACCAAGCCAAAATTGAGCCTCAGGATGAAGAGCGTCTCTGTGGTTGGAACATCTGACATTGGGAGGCTGCAAGGTCACGAGATCGTTAATTGACTTAAACGTTTCGATTACGAAGGAATTCAGGTCAATATAAACACCGGACCAAGTCAAACATTGGTACACATGCTCAATAAGTAATTTAGAAGATGTACATGAATAACCGTATGCAATGATACCCAAAATCGGATTAGACCTAGATTGCATGAATCACTGGATTGAAATTTGGGCTTGAATTTAAATTTTGATGAAGATATGATTGGAATTATAAATCTACTAATTATAAATGGTCGAAATGATGATTTGAGCAGGATTTGAATGAATATTTGTCAATGGTGGTCCAGGCAATGTTTGAAGCTTTATGTACTCCTCCTAATTCAACTATTTATCCAATCATAAACTGTATATAATGCTGTGAATACCGGTAAGGCTTTTTAAAAGGGTTCCGCTTCTAAGTTATTGGGGAATCGATTGATCAACTAGGACCATTTGGTTGGAATGCCTAAATTAATATTGATTCTATATGACTTTGTTAAATATTAATTTACAAGTATTTGGTTAACATAGTTTGTTGAACATATATTATAAATACAGTAATAATAAAGTTAGAATTTAAGTTGTAAATAATTTTTGAATAAAATAGAAACCAACTTAAATGTTATTTTTTTTTAAGTTACATTGTTTTAAGAAGAAATACACACTATAGAAGAAAACTAAGCCAATTTTGAACAAGGAGGACAATAATATCAAAACCAATGACGACTGAAATAGGGATATATTTCTATATGACTTTGTGTAAATATTACTTTACTAGTCCTTATGAACATTTACAACTGTACATACATTCTACTATGGATGAGGGATTGTTACGTTTTTTTTCATCGATATATATAGTCTTTACATCGATGGGTTTTATTAGCGATAGAGTAGGGAGTTTTTTGTACTATCAGGCGTTTCCAAAATAATTACTAAAATTACTATTGTCAATTATATGTATCTAAGATTTATACAAAAAAGCTTATCAGTAGCGTTTTGTGGGATAAGACAGGCATTGACAGCGCAAGACCAGACACCCGCACTATGTTGTACGAAAAAACAAACAAATACCAAAAGGTAAAAACAAAAGTTTTTAAGTAACAAAATAAATTGAGTTTTTGTTAGGTAAAGCCATTAAATAACATCCCGCCATGTCTTATGTAGACCAAAAGATCCTTCAGGAAACCAGCAAGACAGCATTCTGTGTAAGTTGGCTATTGGTAAACGACCACGTCGTTCACCTGTATGGTCATATATCACTAATATTCTACAGTCTCCGCATACAGAGAAACTCCACCGTCTACATAGACAGAGGAACCCCACCGTCCACATGGACAGAGGAACCCCACCGTCCACATGGACCGAGGAACCCCGCCGTCCACATGGACAGAGGAACCCCACCGTCTACATAGACAGAGGAACCCTGTAACTTCACCTGTATGGTCATGTATCACTAATATTCTACAGTCTCCGCATACAGAGAAACTCCACCGTCTACATAGACAGAGGAACCACGCCGTCTACATAGACAGAGGAACCCAACCGTCTACATGGACAGAGGAACTCCACCGTCTACATAGACAGAGGAACCCCACCATCCACATGGACAGAGGAACCCCACCGTCCACATGGACCGAGGAACCCCACCGTCCACATGGACAGAGGAACCCCACCGTCCACATGGACAGAGGAACCCCACCGTCCACATGGACCGAGGAACCCCGCCGTCCACATGGACAGAGGAACCCCACCGTCTACATAGACAGAGGAACCCTGTAACTTCACCTGTATGGTCATGTATCACTAATATTCTACAGTCTCCGCATACAGAGAAACTCCACCGTCTACATAGACAGAGGAACCACGCCGTCTACATAGACAGAGGAACCCAACCGTCTACATGGACAGAGGAACTCCACCGTCTACATAGACAGAGGAACCCCACCATCCACATGGACAGAGGAACCCCACCGTCCACATGGACCGAGGAACCCCACCGTCCACATGGACAGAGGAACCCCACCGTCCACATGGACCGAGGAACCCCGCCGTCCACATGGACAGAGGAACCCCACCGTCTACATAGACAGAGGAACCCCAACGTCTACATAGACAGATGAACCCTGTAACTTCACCTGTATGGTCATATATCACTAATATTCTACAGTCTCCGCATACAGAGAAACTCCACCGTCTACATAGACAGAGGAACCACGCCGTCTACATAGACAGAGGAACCCAACCGTCTACATGGACAGAGGAACTCCACCGTCTACATAGACAGAGGAACCCCACCATCCACATGGACAGAGGAACCCCACCGTCCACATGGACAGAGGAACCCCACCGTCTACAAAGACAAAGGAACCACACCGTCTACATAGACAGAGGAACCACGCCGTCTACATAGACAGAGGAACCACGCCGTCTACATAGACAGAGGAACCCCACCGTCCACATGGACAGAGGAACCCCACCGTCCACATGGACAGAGGAACCCCACCGTCTACAAAGACAAAGGAACCACACCGTCTACATAGACAGAGGAACCACGCCGTCTACATAGACAGAGGAACCACGCCGTCTACATAGACAGAGGAACCCCACCGTCCACATGGACAGAGGAACCCCACTGTCCACATGGACAGAGGAACCCCACCGTCCACATGGACAGAGGAACCCCACCGTCTACATAGACAGAGGAACCCCAACGTCTACATAGACAGATGAACCCCAACGTCTTCATAGACAGGGGAACCCCAACGTCTTCATAGACAGGGGAACCCCAACATTTACATAGACAGAGGAACCCCACCGTCTACATAAACAAGGGTCGTCGACTATATTCTCCCTAGAGACATTTGACTAAAGAATGCATGTAGTTGTTAGTTGACCCAGTTGTTGTCGTGACTAACTTGACTACTGCCATTATAAACTCTGCTCATATTACCCGGGCCATTGTGATAATTGTGGATTGTTATCACTATATAAACCTACCACTCTTTGTAGAACCATCTCACACAAACCAGCATGAAGGTAGGTGCCTCATCTAGATCTGTTATGACAACGATATAAGTGTGTTTAGTTTTAGCAATAAAAGTTTATTGGTCAGAAAAAAACATGTCTATTTTTGAGGTGTAATAATGTTTTTTTATCTGCAAGTATATAAATAAATTACATTAAATTTAACCTAATTATATCTTGTATTTTTTACTACATTTTAATCAGTTTATTCATTTATAGCAGCTTTTTATTTTATGATTTTAATTTAATTTTAATGATTTTAAAATTAAATTAATTTAATAAAATAAAATAAAATTAAAATTAATTTTAATGATTTTAATTTTGTATCCATTTAATCATTTGGTGTATATTTTTTCTATGGTTCCGAAGATATTTCATTTCATTGTTGTACTATAATTATATATATTACTACAATTAGACTATAATTATAACTACAGTATTAACCTTATAATTTCTTATTAGCTTATGCATTTCTTTTTTTTTACTTTTAAAATTTTTTATAATACATGCTTAGTTTTGAAGTACCCATTTGCTTGGAAGGAGGAAAGATTGTAAAGGTGTAAGCATAATTTGTCTATTAAAATGAAGAATGTTTGATTATATTTCGTTTGAATTAATGGATTATTATTTAGGAAATCATATTTCTTCGATATGAAATACGTGTTACAAAATGCTTGATGAAGTAAAATGGTAGAATATAATTACATTTATTAAGTGCAATCCACAAACTCTTGTTCTTTTTTGTGAACATTATTTTTTAAATTAAAATTTGTTAATATTTTATTCAATTCGATTCAATTCAAATATTCTATATGCTGAGTTTCAAGCTATTTAATTTGTATATAAAATAAACGATTTATTTAAATAATTCATATTTAAGTGAACTAAGTATATTAATTTTTACTAGTGACTAAAAATAAAATGTATTCTAGACAATTTATAAAAGGGAGGGGGGGGGTGAGTGAGTGGGTGGTGGGGTACTTCCAGGTTAACTGATTCCTTGGCTCAACTAAACCAAATTATTTCCTCTGGTCTGTAGGCGAACTACAGGACTATGCCAACAGAGGGTTTGGTAGCTAACAATACGTAGAGTATAATATCAATTGCAAATTACGTAACAAATTTAATATATTTTATTTCGAATGTTCAGGTATCCCTAAGTCTAGCAGCCTGCCTGTGCGCCTTGGCTGTATGCCAAGCTCGTCCCCAGGCACCCAAGCCCGAGTACGGACCTCCGAAAGCTACCTACGGAGTGCCAGGGGCGGCCGGCTACCCTAGTGGCGGACCTGCAGGCGGGGATGGAGGTGTCAACGGTGGTGCACCTGCTGGTGGCGCACCTGGGGGTGGCGCACCTGGGGGTGGCGCACCTGCAGGGGGCGCTGGGGATGGCTCATCCGGAGGTGGTGGTGGTGACGATGGTGTAACGGTAATATAAAGATGATCTATTATTTTCTATTCAAAGAGTAGCTGATTTCGATAAAAATGCGAGAATCGCACTGCACGGAAACAGTATTTTTCGTAACTGCCCGCGCCCCGTAATCCAAAAACAACGAAGTCACATAAAAAACCAATGTTTACCACAGTGACACATACCACATATTACAGTGCAGGAAGCCTAAGATGCTTGAATTGAGTTTCCGTGTTCAGTCTTATAAAAATGAAAAACTTAAGACATATAGCAATTATTGTAAGACTGAATGGGACGGTAAATTTTTCACCATGCAGTTGTAATTTTTATATTCATTTTCCTTCAATCTTCTGTAGATTGTATCTCACTAATTTATTTGTGAACTAATCGTGTAATCTGTATCTTTTATACGTTCTCACTGGAGTTTGGAACAAATTTTTTGGTTAAAAGATTGAAGATTTTTTTTTATTCGATCAAATATTAGATAAACGTTTGACAGATTTGTTTATTGGTTACAATTATTTTATATCCGAGTGCAACAGTGTGGTAGCGTGTAATTATGTCTCATTCCGAAGCATTAAATAACCAGAAGAAATTTTCTATTAACTAACCAATTATTTAGAAATTTGGGCTAGTCTAGTCAAGATATAGTGTTAATAAACGTGATACTTTACAGGAGGAAGCGAACTACAGCTTCGCCTATGAGGTAAAGGACGAAGAGTCCAAAAACGACTTCGGTCACATGGAGACCAGGATGGGACATGTGGCAATGGGATCTTACCACGTGCTGCTACCTGACGGCAGAATGCAGAAGGTACGTTCTAGCGTAGCAAGTCTTTATAGTTAAGGCCTTCACATTGTTTCTCTATGTCACCATGACAAGCTTATGATGATTATTTTTTTGTTTCCATAGAAACGGATGTTGGAATGAGAGAGTGGATATGATATTTAAACATTTTCTGTTACAAAACGTTCTACAAAAAATCAACTTTGATAATCTTTATAGCTTTTACTTGATGTATCAATTCATCAAAGCATCAATATTTATAATGTGGCCGGGGAGCTAAGGGTCCCTAGAGCTAAGGGCTCAATCAAAAGGTTGCCAATTCGATCCTGAATTATCAGTAGCTTTGTGATGGGTAGCTTAACTGGGCCCAGTTATCCATTATCTGTTGGCTTTTGGTGAAAAGGAAGCTAAAAATATCCACCTGATCCTAGTTAGTAACAGAGCTGACATCTCATTTGTTCAACACTCATTCTTCATACTCCTTACCAAAATGTATCTAAAGACTCATTCTACGATTCGTATAACCGTACTGAAAAAACACAATTTATTTGCTGTTCAGGTGGAGTACACAGCTGATCAGGATGGTTACAAACCCGTTGTCACTTACGAGGGTGAGATTATTGGGTACGGACCAGGAGTTGGAGGCGGCAACACAGCAGCTGGGGGTGGCGCTACCGGGGGTGGAGCCACTGGGGGTGCTGCCCCCGGGGGTGGCGCTACAGGCGGTGCCACTGACGGAGGAGGCTACAGATACAGATGATCTACAACACCATCTACACCAGACTAGTCCATTGTAAAAGTACAATAATACAAAGATGTGCCTCAAAACTTGCTTTTTAATTTACTCTCCAAATCATTGATATACTGTAGTATAAGCATATCTAGGTATGAAAAAATTCTATAGGGCTGTGATTTACTATTTACGTTAGTCAGATTGGTCAGTTTTCTCTAAGTAATTGCAACCTGTATGTCATATTTAAACATTTTGGGGACAAAATTAAATTTCAAATCGCTGACAAGTTTTACATTGTGACTATTGTCATTGTAGACTATGTATAACGTTTGTTTTACTATATACAGAGTGAATCAGACCACCCGTGCACATAATTTAACGGGATATACAGTCGCTTGTGTAACTCACTGACTCACTGATCAAGTTAAACAAATGTTTACCTACTTCTAAAATAGCTATGGGTCTGAAATTTTTTGTGGATGTCCATTTCGGTCCCAAACCACCCAGAATACCCAAAATCGTTACATTTCAAATTACAACCCCATCCCCTAAAAAAAAACTCCCTTAAACCCACCTTTTTGAGGAAAACGGGTTTTTTACTAAAATAGATCGAAACGGTAAGAGCTGGCAAAGATTTGAAAAAAATTTCATGGTCAGAAATTAAAATTTCTACAACGACCTACTTTGAAATGTGTTAAATGTCTTGGATTTTCAACCTGTTTTAAATTTTTTTAATTACTTTCGGACATATATTTCTACTTTTCATGATCCTAACATTGAAATAAAAGTTCCTAAAGTGGTAATTTAAAATCGTATCCCACTGAAAAAAATTTACATGGTGGATTTTCAATAAAAAAGGTTTATCTAACGCTTGTTGGGCTAAACCGTTGAGCACGGATGGTCTGATCCTGTATATTGTATCGTTGTTGCACTTCATGCTCCTAAAAAAATAGTTCAAAATTATTGTGATTTAACATTAAGAGGTGAATACATTCATTAGTTCTACTTCACAATGCTTATAAACGTGTGAAACAATCATTAGGCAATTCTTTCAGTCCTTAAGAAGAAAATCTTTAAGTGTTAAAATTTCAGTATACAACATTAAATCATCAACATATGGGTTAATACTTTTAACTGTATACATAAAATAACAAAACTCTTGCAGGTTAGTACCAATTCGTCGCAAGAAAATACAATTATTGGTCTTGTAAGATTCTCAACCTCTACCTCAGGTTCTACCTCACACGAATTAAATGGAGATTTTTAAAAATTTTCGAATCTAACTAAAGGTTTTTAAAATATAACAACCCCGATCCACACTTGCACATACACAGTAAAATTATTGATAATTTGTCTTTAGGCACAATTATGTATAAAGGTACTCGTATGAGTTCCCAGCTACCGATGGAAGAGTTAACTCAGATAAAAAAAAAAACATAATTTAGATCGTTTTAATGCACAGGATTTTGATCAAAATCTATATTATTATAAAGAATAGGAAGTGTTGGTGTTTGCGTGTGTCTGTAAGAAGCAAACGCAAAACAAATAATTTAATTGCACTTAATTTTTCACACATAAAGGTATATCAGTATAGAAGTATTTCCGCTTCGACATTGACATAAAGCTCTGCCCCGTGGGCTTACAAAGTTCTCAGGCAAGGCTTTTAAAAGTAAATATTTATTGGTCTCCATGGCAAGAGAAAAACTTAAAGTTTTTCATTTGTATTAACATTTGAATTGAAATTAGCAAAACTATCGAATTCACTTTATTTCATAATTCCACGCGATTTAAGAAAATTAAACCTTAACATTGAATAGGAAATAAGTCATAAATATAGCAAATGACAATTTTCTCTTCCGCAACCTTTGAACTGCAGCTGCAAAGCACACTGGGTACATAGAGGCTCTCGGCTGGTAGTTCTTAGAAATATTGTTAGAATGTGAATAATCCCGGATTACATAGTATGTCGCCATTTCCGATTAACGTCGTTATTTTTTTCACGTTGACACTTGCCAGTAATATGGCATTTCATCACTGTTTAAACCTGTTTTACTCAGAGACCAATAAACATGTCTTTTAACTAAGTCAGGTTGTTATATAAGTCATCGTGATCTTATAAATACTATTCAGATAAACTTTACTTCTGGTACCATCCTTTCATTCAAGCATATCATAAAGATTCTCTTCCTACAACAATTACAACCTTTTTAATTATATAAACACTAAAAATTTTTCGGGAATTACGTTTATTTGCATACTAAGGTCACTTTCAACTGGCTTGAATGCGTATAAATTAAGTGAAAATATTAACTAGAGCACATCCGCATAAATATTTAGATTTTTAATAATTTCACCATATAATGCAGATAGTTGTGACAGCAGATTAACATACGTCAATTGTAACTCTCAGGTTAATGTAATTAAGGACCTTAACCTAAGTCATAGACCTTAACCTCGTTAACACTTATTTGAACTTGTAATCATGAAGTTACCAATGCTCAATTATCTATATTATGTAATTTTATCCATTATGCGATGATCTTGCAAAGAAAAATCAATGCGATTTCCAAGTGAGCCAAATAAATTGTATATTATGGAATAATGGTTTGGTTTTTAAAACTTTATATATGACACACTCGCGTTATTTAAAGGTGTAAAATATGCAAAGAAATCTATTACAAACAAATTATGGACCTTTTATTTCTTTGGTAAAAGTTAAGCATATTGATAAAGTCTCGAATAAAAACGTTATTGGATGATTTTTATAAGTTGGTTTGATAAATGTCTGAATCTCAATACAACAGAGTATGACTAGCTGTCAAATACAATTTTAAGTATTTAAAATCTGGAAACTTCATGGATAGCTGTTGTATAATAATGTTTTTGTTTGACATATATACATGTATTTAAAAAATGTAATATAATAAATGTTTATTGTACTGCTCATTAGTCCAAATGATTTGAAAATGTACTGAAATGTTTATCATTAAACGAAAATGAAGATTGGATACATTTTAAACAAAAATAAGGACCTTGACAGTAATTTAAGGAAAGAATGTTAAAATATTTATTGGAACTAGAATAAAAAATATTTAAAGTTTCTTAACACTATTATTATTTAATGTTTTACATTAATATTCTATTACGAAGTGAAAAAATAAATCTATGAGTGACCCGCTCTATTTCTGCACGTATAAAAGTTGGGTCAGGTTGTCTTTAGTTTTAATACTTATACTTCGTATAAAATGTTTATTTTGAAATTTTGGTGATATATTTTTAAATTACGATAACCCGACAAATTTTAATTTTACTTTACTTCCTTTCTTTTAGCCTTTTTAGCTTAACCAACCCAACCCAACTTGTATTTTAAATTATTTGGATGACTATTGGATTTAGACCAGTTTGGCCATATTATGGGTCTTAGAAAGTATGTTTAAAAATAGGGCCATGCTATCATATTTATCTATAATAATTTTTTGGTACTAAAGGTATCCTCCTTACCTACAGAATCTAATGTAAGTTACGTATCTGACGCCAAGACCACAATTTTCAATGTCACGGCACTGAACGAATCATCTTCCACGAGGTCTTGTCTGAGTGACATTCACAACCAATGCTCAATGAATTACATTATTACTACACAGGGTTGTAATTTAGATTTAACATATATAACCCAGTGGGTTAGAAGGAGCGTTACAACTTCTCCAGTCGTCTCACAATGAAGGTAAGAAACTACTGCAAAAATATTGTTCATTTTTATTAAAACTTACTGTAATAAAATATCGTTAAAAATTAAACCATCTAGGTAAATTTAAAATGTTTCCAGTTTCCATAAAACTCTTTGGATTACAGTGTATATTATCTAAACGTAAATATTCAACAATAAAATCACAGGCTGCACAAGCGAAATTGGTTAAGGGTTTATAAGTTTGAAAGATATTTCATACTGTAACATGTTTAATTTATTTGATTTGCAATATGTGTTTAAAAATTAATTTGAACTGACACATTCTAAGGTAACATCTTTTTTTATGGTCTGAAGTGTAATAATCATTGATATTTTTCTTGTCTAGTGTACTAGTAGTTTTTCTTCATTTTCCCCGTTTATTTTTTTTATTCCGTTGTTGTAATAGGCCCTAATTAAAAAGAAATTAACAGTTTTGTAAATTTAATTTAACAGCTATCTAAATTGCTCTTAGCAAACGTAGGTGCTAATTTAATTAATTTAATTTATACCGAGAATGGAAATGAGTGTAAATTTTAATCGATCCTGAACCTTTTGGAACGAATTGGGGGTAATTGAAACAATATAAACTTGTATTCGAAATATTTTAGTATAATGCTTTGCTTACTTTATTTACCGCTCAGTATTCATCGATATTTACATTAAAATTGATTTAAAATGGGTTATACCACTGATTATATATGCTTCACGCGTTGTATGTGATGTTAGAAGACTAATACCAAAGAATGATATTAGGAGCCACCCCTTGCTTTTGAGTGTTGACTATTTCTGTTAACCGTACGTATTGAGCTGATTTTATCGTTTAACTTTAAAAAATCAAAAACATTTGATTTTTTAAGTTCAGTTTTTGTTTGTATTTGAAATTTCCAATAATTTTACCCTGATGAACGTAATAGCTCTCTAGGTTTTAAGGACTTTGTTGTTACTTGTTATAGGTTGAAATGTCGCCAGACAGGATAGTAACAACTTGCTCTTAATCGCAGCACCGTGCATTGCATTGTTCACCTATTCTTCCATACAGCTAATGAACATTCAGTAGGTTTACAAAGAAAGGTAATGTTAGTATTTGTTTCAGGTCTGTTTGGTGGTAATCTTGTCACTCAGCTGTGTGAGGTGGAGTCAAGCTCACCCTCTCATAGCAGACGTGCTCAGGGCAGCTTCCATGAATGGTTACAGGGGAGGAAACACAAACGTGGACCCTACTTATGTAAGTGTTTGAAAAGTTTTCCTATCATTTACAGCTCTACAGCTGATTGGAAGTTAAATCTGTACTAGATGATATGTTGAAAGTGTTATGGATGGATTGGATAATCCTAGCACTTGCTGAGTTACGTTCAAGCAGTTGCCTGATAGAAGTTAAGCTATATTTACCTTGTCATGGTTTTGTAGTAGGCTGTTTATGATTTAGTTATTACCTCCTTATTGGAAGGAAAGGTTTTTTTACTTAGCTTGGTGCCAAATCCAAAGGGGTTTTATCCTTATTTTATCCACCTTACCATTAAGTGCTTGGGTTGTACTCCACCCAATAACTCTACAGTTATAGCTACAACAACTCACAACTCATAAACAAGATTGTGATCTTTCAACTTTAATTACATTGGTAAAGTCTTACGATCTTTAACATCCAGGTGCCCTTCGTATGATAAAAATAGAATACCACAAAAGTAATTTTGCAGTGAAGTAAAACTACGAATACAACACACAAAAATAAGGAATCGTTTCATTATTGTGTACTGATTATTTTATATTTTCATTTACTTGAATCAATCAATAATTTTATTCAATATATGATTTTGATACTTATACCATCACATATTATGATATACACCAAGTCATTCATGGTGTTTCGTATCATATTTAATCTCGTTGTTGGATACCTGGTTGTTTTCAAAATAGTAAAAAAAACTGACCTGAGGAAAAAGACACAAAAATAAAGGGGGTTTCAAAATTTGGTTTTAAGTATTGAAATCGATCATATGAAATGTTAGAATGTCAAATTGTGACAACCTACAACAAAAAAGGATAATAAAATTACACATTTTCGGAAGCATTTTTTGAACTATAATCATGCAATGTATTTTACATTATGTAATTAAACTATTACACACCAACTACGACTGTATACCTACTTCTACACTTTTCTTTATATCATATCATTGATAATCCAAGCTCAAAAATCGAACATGGTAGTCTAGAGGTAGCGTCTTCAGGCGATAGCTGATCCATGACCTGTTGATTATCTCTTCACTTGCTTAAACATGGGACTCATGAAGCAACTTCGCTTACTTCAAACACCTATAACAGTAGGCCAATAGTAGGAGGTTTAACTTAATCAGTAAATAAAAAGAGAAAATGAAGTTAATCAAATATCCCATTCATTCTCAGGAGGACGCCAACTACAAGTTCCAATACCAAGTGGTGGACCAACCCTCTGGTAACCAGTTTGGCCATGAGGAGACCAGGATGGGGGATGTGGCCACAGGCTCCTACCACTCCATGATGGCCGACGGTCGCATGCAGAGGGTGGACTACGTCGCCGACCAGAGAGGGTACAGACCCATCATCTCCTACGTCTAACCTCCAGGGTGTCCTGAACTGTCTTTAGTACAATAGTTTTATTTATTTGTATTTATTATTTGAAGAATAAAAATTTTAATATCACAATCTGGTATCAAAGTGAATTTTACAATTGACTATCCCAAATCCTGTATCCTACAAGTTATGTTTTTCGAATTGTAACAAATTAATAAACCAGGGAAAGTAAGTCGATTTTAAAAGTGTCAAAAACTCCACCAAGAAATCTTTGAAGTTTTTTTGGTCATAAGAATAACGGAACCCCAGCCTAAAATTGAAAAGGAGACGATTGTAATTTGTAACTTATTTTTTTGAGGTTAAGTATCAGTGAATGTTTAAAAGTTGTTGAACATTAACTGAATTAATCACACACATTTCAGTAAAATTTGTTTGAACACTTATATCATGTTTTTAGATGTAGGTCTATGTATCATCCTGAAGAATAGCTATAAATAAAATTCTATGTGTCTATTACATACTGTGAAAATCATATGCGCTGTTATTTTACTTCTGCCCCTAAGGGTGTCCCGGAACTCTCAACCAATATTTTAGGGCATTGTTCCTGAGTTAGAAACATATCCAAATATTAAACTTAAAATGTCCGGAAGCCCTTAGTTACTCACAAAGCCGTCATTTTGTTAGTTGCACTTATTAACTTTTTTCTAATTACTAATTAAAGATGCGAAATTTAAACGTTGCAAAAACAGTTATGACAACTAGACAAAGCTACAAAACAGTTATGCCAGTTTTTCCAATTCATAAAAAAATGGCGGTCATTTAAAACTCTTGTAAAATCAATGGTTTTTGAGTTATTTAAGAAAAAAAAAATTAATTAGCCTACATTTTGTTTTACGAATTTAAAAATTGTCATAACTTTTTGATAGCTTTGCCTAGTTGTCATACATGTTTGTGCAAAGTTTAAATGTCGTATCTTTAACTACTTAAACAAACTATAAGTGAACAAATTTGTGGCTGTGTGCGTAAGTAAGGACTTCCGGACAATTTAAATGTGATATTTAGATTATGTTTCTTACTCATATTGGTAAGAGTTCCGGGACACCCTGTACATATAGGGAAAATATTGTCTCCGTCAAGATTTTGAGTTATTGGTTAAATATCCATGGACCCAAAAAAGTGGTTTTCGAAGTGATGTCTTTGCGTATGTGTGTGGATATAAGTACAGAACTACAGACTACACCAATGGTCTTTGATGAAATTGCGAGAAGGTATTAATCCATTTTATCTCCAAGCTTTTTTTTTGTTTTTTTTTAAGATTCTTAAACTTAATGGTGAATTTTTCCTGAAAACCATAAAATAACGAAGAAATGATTTTCAAAAGATGTTAAAACTATTTTCATTGCAACTTATTATGTTATGATAATTTTCACTTACAAAAAAATGGCACATAACCTAATGCAGAACAAATAACGGTTTAAATGTTATTGCTACTCTTGTGATTCCTTTCATAAAATATTTTAGTGACTCCCACTGCTTTCCCATGATAAGGGTTGTTGACAAGCCAATTGGACAAAGTATGTGTCAGATTACTAATACAATTTATTTAATTATTTATAGTCAAATCATGTATGGTCAAAGAGTGACTTAAGTTTTAATTTATCTTTTCCTATTAGGTTCCCAAGACTTTTTGACCACAGGGACTTGAATTACAAATAGCTGTAGGAAAAGGTTTTAGTTGTATTTTAGAGTTTCTTAATGGTCTAGAGCTTAATCAGTAATGATAACCTTTCCAAAATTTACAAGAGTTTATATAATAATCGACAATGAAGTAAACTCCATTAAATGTGTGAGTAAGTTCATTATTTTTAGTGACTTTATAATGGAGTTTGAAGTATAGCATGATTGATAATATTTGGTTTGTGCAATCAAACATTAAGGGCAAATAATTAACCCGTGGTAAAGGGCAGATTAACCGATATTCCCTGTATTTTTAGTACAGGTAAGATTCTATCTCTGATATCATAGAAATTAAAGACATGATTTTCGCCCATTTTAGCATTTTATTGGGATTTCCAAAAATGTTTAATGCTATCCAAAACATGATTGAGTATTATATTCTTTTTGTTATTCATTTTATTTACAATTTTAATAACAGAATTGGAAGTTAGTTTTGAATTATTTGTGTAAGTTTTAGCCATGAGAGAATGAAATTATTCTTTTAAACACAGCTTTAGCTGCTATAAAATATAGCTTAATATTGTTAAACTAAGATTATTGTCATTGTTAACAAAATATATTAGTTGTTTTTGTGTGTTGCATTTCGCCTGTAGTATTTTCAATGTTTATATATTTGTGTGGAATCACACCATAATATTACTGCTTTATTTATTAATACGCACACACACCACCCAATAAATATATGTGTAGTGTATTACACATTGACTTCGGAGGGATTCCAACTTTAACATAAATGTTAACTTCTTAAGTTTCCGTATTTATAAACAAAATATATAGAATCAACCCTTTTGGTTTGCTTCGTAAAATAAGTAATTCTCAGGTAAATTACAAGTCTTGGGAAAACACATGAAAATGGTAAAAGAGAATAAAGCACAAAATCACATTTATAAAATGTATTATCACACAACGGTACCTAAATCCGTATTATACAAGGAACTATATTGATTACATAGAGGTATTGAGATCTAGCTGCTACTGGGGTTATCTTCTGTAAAAGTAGCCTCCGCCACCTCCGCTTGGCCTGTTGCCCCCAGAGGGACCGAACTTGGCCTCCCCTGTGTACGAGACCATAGGTCTGTAGCCGTTCTGGTCGGCTACGTAGTCAACCTAAAATTTAACACCATAGATTAAACCTTTGACTACGCATAAATCTAGAGGTTTAATTCCCATTAAAAGTTTCAGCCTAGAAGAAAAACTACCGAACTTGAAACGAGTTGCAAGAATCAATTAGTCCTTTGGTGTTATAAGTAAAGGATATGTCTGAAAACATATTCTAAAGAGGGAAAAATTGGCATGTTAAGATCAATGCACTAACAGTCATAAACCTCAAACACACATAAAAAGGTGCAGATATAACAACACAATGACAAATCGTTTTTCACTAGTTGAAGTGCGTTATTTGAAATATGTGGTTAAATAGATTAAGGTGGGTGGAAGTGTTTGAAGTGCTCCCATAAAATCAGAGATTTGCCAGGTTGATAAAAGAAACGTTCTTTTTGATTTTAAAAACCTATCCTTGACTTTTGGGTCTGTAATAAATTATAACAAATGTACATTTGATCACACTCGATTTTACTACCACCCTCCACTTGCATTCTGTTTAAGCTTGCAACAGTAGGTCACTCTCCCAACATAATTAAAACATATAGCCAAACAACTGGAAGGCTTTTAGTTATTCTGTCGTTTTTAATGATTGGAAATATAATAAATGATAAGTTATTCAACTGACAAAATTCTCTTTCATTTCTTTTTTTTCTTGTTTGGATCTTTTGTAAACGGAAAATAAAATTTCCACTGCAATTATTTTAGTAATGGTTATGTTGGGAAAACCCCGATATCAGATTTAAAACGTAAAATATGAACTCTTTAAAAATCCTTTTAATATGTTCAAACGTTGGCGCCACAAAGTTGAATCAAGGTAGATTGTTAAGTCTTGAATCACATAGCTTAAAAAAATAATCTAAAATAAGTTGGAGGAATAAAAAAAACCTTCTGCATGCGACCGTCAGGCAGCAGCACATGGTACGAGCCCCTGGCCACCTCCCCTTGCCGCTGCTCCATGTGGCCAAAGTCATTGCCAGAGGCGGCGTCCTGCACCTCGTACATGAAGTTGTAGTTGGCTTCCTCCTAAAACATAAATACGACTGTTTATGAAATGTCCGAACCGGTAATCGGAACGATTATGGTATTATACACAATTTTTTTGTTTGAATTTAAAGTTACAGAGGAGAGAAGAGAACGTTTAAGAACAGGTTAAACATTGGAGTAAATGAACAATGGGTACTTCAAGTGCTGAAATCAATGCGGAGGGCACCTCGTTTAAGTTTTTTTTTTTTTTAAGTTAGGACAATTATTCAAACTTAGTATCGGTGTTAGGTCAGGAAAATTTTTCTATTTTATCAACAGTATGTATTGAACATAATAGGTTTTAATTTAAAAAAAAAGTAAGATAAAATTCAAAGAAAATTAACAATAAACAAAAATAAATACACGACCGTACCTAACCCAACTTGTATCTATAGACATTTTAGCAGTCAACCGAATTCTAATTAGACCAGACTTCAATTAGAAAAAAACAATCGATAATTATCTCTCACCTTTTTATTTCTAATTGATATCATGCTACGTGTCCAATTGTAACTAAAATCGTACACAAATTTTTACTTGACTATTTACATTATTCTGTAAAACATGCATAACTTGGCTATTTTAAAAACAGTCAGTCTTAAATTATGTGTCCATCCCTTAAAATTTTCAGGGAATGGTACTTTGTACATAAATAATACATTAACGGAACTGACCAACCATTCTACACAGTGTGAGGTACAGTAATTTGAAAATCTATTGCTAGAGTAACCTCCCATTAATCACATAAATCGGCGTTAGAATCCTTTCATTGTATTTTACTTAAGTCTTTAATCCCATGCATGTTTAATGCGTTTTAACATGTCAGGACTGCTTTTAAGAATCTTTAAAGATTTTTTTAAGAGGTTTCCATCTCACAAAATTAAGATTGAGTACACAAGTAAATTACTATATTTGATCATTCAATTTTACCTTCAGATATTTTAAATTTAGTTTATTTTGTTTGAATAGTGTAAATAGTAATAGCAGATATATTTGTATCGGTATAAAACGCAGTTTAACTGATCCTACCAAGATATTGATAAAGAATGTTGTTAAGGTAGTGAGTGACTTATTTTATTTTAATTGGTCGCTCTAGTAGATAATGTTTTTTTTTTTTTTTTGCCAAAGGTTACATTGATTGTAGACTTTGTTTGCACTTTGGGAAATAGTTTCACTATTGATAATACAGTTACTCACAGCGAAAGGGTCTGCGCCACCTCCCGAGTGTCCTCCGAACCCAGCCGGTCCTCTGCCGTAGCCCATGCTGGGGACTCCATACATGGAACTGGGAGGCTCAGGTCTAGCCTCTGCAAGGGACAGCCACATCAGGCAAAGACACAGGCTTGACACTATGGCGACCTGAAACAATTAATTGTTATTACCAGTTGAGTAAGAGTAGCAACTCTACGTATTATAACCTAAATAAATATGAGTCAATAGAATGTAGTGAGATGACCTAAATTGTTTCTACTGACTATAATAGGCTCCTTCAGCAAGGATCACTTAGTAACAGCCTAATTTCCATATTTACTTGGTAAAAATGGGAAATTTTAAAGTTGTTTTTGTATGCCTTATAAATGTAATCGTAGGTAACAAAGAAAAAAATGGTATCTAAGGATTTCAACCTTGGGATTAAAAACGAATACATCAATACAAAACCAACTGTGCAGCCTATATTTGGCAACGGGTTTTCAACATATTTCTCAACACCCAATTTGCCAACATTGACAGATTGACATTTTGACCTGTTTGGGAGGTAAGGGGCCCCGTTTTGGCGCGTGGGGCCCAGCTGATGCACGCACTAGATGGCTTTGTCGGCTCTAACGACGTCTGATAAGGCCCGACCTTGATTGCTTATCTCATATGGGGGCGAATCCATATTCGCCGTGTTGGTTAGAATGTTAGTGTACTTATGACGATAGTTATTTTGACATGTTTGTTGAAGGTCAATAAAGTTGCACACAAATGATTACTAATTTATACAAAAAGAACATGTTGGATATAATATTTCTTCTTACATATATTTTAGACTTAAATTTTAAAGATTTTTTTAATTTTCCTTTATGAAAATTTCTTCAACGAATGGTCAACCTTAAAGTTGTCTAACGATCTATTTCGTATCTCCTGGACTTCATGTGACAAAATTGGACTCAAGCCTCCGTCTGAAGTCTAAAATTTAGCAATGAGTTTAATTTTAGTATTTTTGTATATTGATGATTATTCCTGTTACAGGCCTTGATAAAACTGCGGTTACAACAAAACTAGACCGAACTTTGATGATGAAAATACGTCGGACAACAGACGAATAAAACAAAGCCTATATCGTTAAAAAGAAATGCCTTCATTCGTTAACTTTTTTTAAATATCACAGTGTTGAATAATATAAAAACGTATTTTGTTCTGAACCCTTGATTGGTAATGTAGTCGTGATAGTAATTTTACTTTCCCCACCCATACATAGTATATGGTTAAGTTGTGTTCTTCAAAATCTTATTGTAAGAGTTTTTGGATATATCTGTTATTGGCCTCCCACACCTGTGGGACTGATGACTGTGTAATATGTATGGGTAGAAGAAAGTATTATCTTTATGTATAAATAATGAAATCATCAGTCAAATATTATTACAAAATCTGTACAAGTCAAACAACTATATAAAATAAAACTAACCAAAAGTAAAGTATTTTAATCCAATTTACATTCACATATTCAGCAAAAGATAATCTCCGAAGTAATTAATCACATGACTTATTAGTGACTTAACATGTATGTCGATATCAACCTATCTACTGACAAGTTGAAAGACCTTGATATTAAAGTGATGTTCGATTCTATGAGTCAACGGTGACAGTATATTTTACATATCGGACTATCCACTGACCTTTGCCCTCACGAGTGGGTATACAGGCACGTGCCACGCTCGCTTCGCTTTAATGACACTATCATCAGCTGATCTACACTCTGCGCAGTAACATCTCCCTCAGGGCTCTACAGGGTATTCCGTATGTATCCAGGTCTTGCAAAGTGAATACGTGAGACTGCATTGGTCTTATCTTCCGTTTATGGCCTATTGTGTGAACTTAGACTAAGGTGTTGGGACCTACACAATTGAATTTACTCTTACTCGTCCCGTATAGCTAGGAAAGTGTGAATAGTTTGATGTCTTGCCTCGTCAACCATTTACAAATAACTTGTTGGACTTGGTTAAAATATTATTGAAGACGGTTAAATAACGAAAACAAATTTTAAACAAAGCTCCTGCGTGTACCGGACAAGTAGCTTTAAAATAATATTTGGCCAAACCCTTACGGGGTTTCAATCAACGAGAAAGTATGTTTAATCAAAGTTTATAACTGTGCTGAATTAAATATAAGAAATAGAAAATAGCACTTAGAGAAAATAATTTAAGATTTTCATCACGAATGATTTTAAGGTTTTGTACTAACCCGTTCTATTGTTACAACTTGTATTGTTTTATAAATTGTTACTCTTACCTTCATTGTTGGCTGCTGGAGGAGGTGTGATGTTCTACTCAGCCATCTCTGGTTTTATATAATGGGTAACCAGAGCAAATTAGCGCCAAATAACTGCAAAATGCTCACCTCAGACACGACTGGGCAAGGTCGCAGAAATGTCACCTAGTTGTAGAACGCCCTACGTATCTACAAAATTAGGTTTTCTTTAGGTATCAGCGATAATAGTTGATAATATTAACTAATAGATTGATCCGTCCTTTGCAGCAGCATATGGGATCAGAATAAAAAAAACGTACTTTTACTTTGGAAAACAACCATTATTATTGTTTTAGCCCCTGATTAAGCAAGACTGCGCATTTTCTGAAATAATTGAATCATTATAATATAACAAATATACTATAATGAAGATTACGTACTTAAATCTTCGTCAATCCACTATCTATTTGGATCTATTAATATTTTCAGAGCAATTTTGCTCAATTTTTTAATAAAATAGTTTGATAGAAAAAATACTTTCTCGCACAAAACATTACACAATGTATGGATTTGAATATAAAACATACAACTTGCCAAGGTAATAGCGTGGTCGGCCAAACAATACCATTACATCGAAAAATCAAACTCGACCCAACATAGTACAAATTGGTTCTTATTTTAGAAGCATTATATAATATTATCAAAACAGCCAAATTCCTTATACACAGTAGTTTTCTCAATGCAAATATTAACTATTAATTTGGGCCACCGGTGTTTGCGTAATGGACTATTAGATAGAAACCTACTTTTATCATAGTATTTGTTCCTAAAAGATTTTATCGGAGTTATGTTTACCATGCTGCATTTTTGAATATGTAACACTTAGAAATTTAAGTAATTCAGAAATATGCTTCATAACACAGCTAAGCCTATATTATGAAGCAACAAATATAACAACTTTTAATCAAGTGAAGCTTTACAAGGTTAATTAACGAATTAAACATACTCATTTTCAATTTATCATAATAAGCTAAAGAGAGAGATTTAAGGCGTGTGTCAAAGATCATAAAAGATCATGTATTACTATTATTACTTTACATTACATACTTTACTAATAGTAATACGTTCCCGATATATGGGCGGTTTGAGGGGAAGTTCCCCAAACCACTTTTTTGTATTTAATGTATGTTGCATAATCAGCTGTTGAGCTATTATTTTAGATAAGGGCCAAGTGGGGATAGATTCCTTCCTCTAAAAATACCTTGTGAAAGAAGGGTAGAATACTTTAATACTTTTCATTGAAATGGCAACCATACAAAGTAGGTATATTAAGCCAAGTATGAAAGCAACATATTTGGTTAACTGCCAGCATTTGAGTCAGCTTACAACTGATATGGTCCTGTAATACGTTCATTGTTGGGATCGATCAATCTTAGTAATTGTGTATTACGTTTTCATGTAAGTTTATGTATATCTTGTATTAAATCTATCAACCTCAGCTAGTAATGAACCATAATGGTTAAAACCCATGTCCAACTTAAATATTTACTATTTTGAGAGCAGAAGGATGTAATTGGAGAAATCTTTATATTTCCACAAAAGCGCAATGTTACTTAAATTAGTTGATCCTTATATTTTTGTATATTCTCCTTTAACATTCAAGGACGCTCTGTTTTAGTCCGACAATGTTTTGCACATTATTTCAGACTAAAGAGTAGCATTAATTAATTTTCGCATAGCCAAAGCCGATTGGTGATTAGTGGGAATTGAACCCGATACCTCGTAGACCCGCACTCAACCGATATACCTATTTTTTTTCAGTAAACAAACATGTTTTATTAATATATTTATATGACCAAGTTGGGTTCCAAGCTGGCTCGTCTTAGGAATGACTTCCAGACCAAACAGCTGTTTCACGTTTTCCACCGCAAGCTGGTGACTTATCTTCATTGCGTGATCATCTCTGGGTCAAGGTTTTGCTGGTTTAAAACTTGCTCATATCGCTCAAAGGCCCATAAAAAATAATCTTTCCTATATGCATCCTAAACCTTATGGATTAATAAAAATACAATGGACAACCAAATACACTCTAGTGTAATAATTATTTAATTTTTTTTCTTATGTTTTACCGGTAAGGTGTAATTATTAGTATGTTAGTACAGTAAAAATATGTTTTGACCCAAAAATTCACAGTCATGAGTCAGCGCTCAGAGGGTCAACATCGTTATCAGTCGGTGCGGGCTCCCATTGATAATCAGGTCTTAGCTGGTACTATAATAGTGTTCTTATGAATTAATTGCAGTTAAAACGCGTTTCTTATAGTTAATTATGGCCAATTGTCGTATATGTGTTAAAAATGTAACATCCAAGCAGCTTAAACTAAAGTGCAATGATTGTGAAGGTATTTTCCATGCAGCGTGTTTAAACTTTAGTAAAGCAGACGTCGAGTGTGTAACAACAGATAACCTTGTGTGGCGATGTAACGACTGTTCAGCTACTAGGAGGAAGAGTTTGCGGTTTGAGTCTGAAGCAAGTGGAGGTAAACTATCAATGGAAGATCTAATGAAAGTTGTTATGGAGATAAGGGATAGCCAGAAGGACCAAGAGAAAAGTTTCAACACTGCGTATGAAGCTATGAATTTGCAGCTTGAAGATAATAATAAAGCTCTCAAAGCCCAAAATGAGCAAAATGAAAAACTCTTAAAACTGATTGAAAGCATCACAGCTGAAAATGTAGAGTTGAAGAATAGGGTTAAGTTTTTAGAAGAGCGAGTTGACAATTTAGAACAGCATTCTCGAGTCAATTGTCTAGAGATACAAGGAATTCCTCAAACTCCAACAGAGGATGTGCTGTCCATTGTAAAGGAAATCGGTAAAGCTATTGACATGAAAATAGATGATACCATGGTGGACACTTGTCACAGATTGGGTTCGAGACAGAACGATAGAAACTCACCCCCGGGAATAATAGTAAAATTTGTGCGCAGGATGGACAAGGAGGAATTTATGAGGAAAAAACGTGTTAAGCGAACCTTGTCAACCAGACACATCGGCAGGCCGGATGACCACGCAATCTACATCAATGAGTCATTGTCACCCGCACGGAGGAAGCTCTACGCAATGGCAAGAACTTACAGGAAAGAAAAAAACTTTCAATTTTTGTGGGTGCGAAATGGAAAGATCTTCTTAAGGAAATCAGAAAATGAAACTGTCAAGGTAATAACTTCTCAAAATGACTTAAAATAAGTTGTAAGCAAGTAACTTTCAGTTGACATAGTAGCTTTTTCCGTTAAATTTGTAGTTAAGAAGTGATGTTTTTATTGTTTTAAACATTTTCGAAGCGATCGATATAAGTGAGAGAAATATTGAACAGTTTTCTATATTGCACCAGAATATACGCAGTATAAGGAAAAACTTTGATTTCCTATTATCTGAATTAAGTGGCAGACAGTTGTTTTCTGAATTTATAATTTTAACTGAAGTGTGGGTAGACGAAAATGAATTGGATTTATATAGCATTCCTGATTACATTAGTGTCATAAAACCAAATAACGATAATAGAGCTGGAGGTACAATAGTTTATATAAAATCATACATAGAATTAATTTCTTGTAATCCTGTAAATATTAAATCAGCTGATATATTGAAAGTTGAATTTAAATTCAACTCGGACATTTTTTGTATTTTAGCTGTATATAGATTGCATAGTTATCACAAAGAGTTATTTTTGGATGAAATAAGTGATTATTTTGAAAATTATCGTAATTATTTTAGATCAATGAAAAATATATTTTTCGCAGGGGATTTAAACTACAACATTCTAGAAAGCAATCAAATTGTTGATACTTATAACTCAATTTTGTCTTTAAATGGGTTTGAATGTTTATTAAGTGAGCCAACAAGAATTACAGACGACTCAAGTACTTGTATTGATCATTTATTTGCAAAGTTAGCGAGCAAACAATTGACTCAAGTTAATGTAGAGGTGATTCATGCCCATATCACGGATCATTCCATGATATTAGTTAAAGTGCATACGATCGCTGGTGGAACAGACAGACGGACAGTTCTACCTGCCGTCTGTCCTGCCCTGCCCGCTTATCGTGTAGATTACACAAAACTTTCTACTATGCTTGATAACATAGACTGGGTCAATGTTTATTCCGAGCAAAATCCTTCTAAAGCATTTGACATATTTTATGATAAGCTTCAATTAGTTATTCAAGACTGTAAATACCAAATTGAAACAAAAAGTAATCTGAAGGCAAATAAGATTAAACCCTGGATGAATGATTACATTTGTTTGAAGATTAAATTGAAAAATAAATTATACGATAAAATCAAAATTCATCCTACCAATAATAAACTAAGATCACATTTTAAAAAATTTAGAAACAAATTACAAGCTGAAATAAGAAATTTGAAAAATGGGTATTATGAAAAACTATTTAATCAATGTAATGGCGACTCCAAAAAAATATGGAAGGTAGTAAATGATGTTACAGGACAAAATAGCAAGAGTACTGTGATTAGCAGTTTGAATATCAATGGTTGTATAGTTAACGATACTAAGACAATTTGTAATGAGTTTAATGATTTTTTCCTATCTGTTGTACATAAACTGAATATTCAAAAAGTTAAGCCAAATGAGTTCAGTGAATTATACTTTAAGAATTGCTTTGAAATAAAAAACACGTGTAATTCTATGTTTATTGATTACGTAACGCCAGAGGATTTGAGTAATGTTGTAAAGTCATTAAAACCTGGAACTTCTCCTGGTATTGATAATATAAGTTCATCATTATTTAAAAGAATGTTTCCTAATATATCTAGTGTGTTATTGTATTTAGTTAATTTAAGTTTTCAAGAAGGTGTGTTTCCTGATGCCTTAAAAATAGCTGTAGTGATACCTTTACATAAGAGTGGAGCAGTAAATGATTGTAATAATTTTAGACCAATTTCACTCCTACCAACTCTAGCTAAATTATTTGAAAAATTAATGAAAAAGAAACTTGTTAAATTCCTAGACCAATCAAAGTTTTTTAGTGAAAGGCAGTTTGGCTTTAGAGAGGGGTTGAACACTGAAACAGCTCTGAAAAATTTTATGGATAAAATATACACTGGATTAAACTGTGGGAAAAAAGTAAGTGGGATCTTCTTGGACATCAAAAAAGCATTCGACACAGTTGATCACCAAATTCTTTTAAGCAAACTCTTTAACTGTGGGATTAGGGGTAAAGTACATTCTTGGTTTAAATCTTACTTGGAAAATAGAAAGCAATGTGTTAAAGTTAAAAATACTTATAGTAATCTCGGTCTAATCACAAGTGGAGTACCGCAGGGCTCTGTCTTGGGAGCAATATTATTTTTAGTGTATATAAATGACCTATGCAATGCTAACTTAATTGGTGAGATAACATCATTCGCAGACGATACAGCTCTTTGTTATGTCAAAGATAGTTGGATAGATATAGAGCAAGCAATGTCGATGGATTTAAAAGCCCTTCAATGGTGGTTTTCAAATAACAACATGTTACTTAGTCCTGAAAAAACTAAGTTCATAAATTTTAGCCTAAGAAATGAAATAAAATTTAGTGACAATATCATTTATACATGTATTGACTGTTTATGTAATAGAACTCAGTGTTCTGTAAGTTGTGCTATTGTTCGTCAGACAGACAGTATAAAATACTTAGGTATAACTCTAGATCAGGAGGTTAGTTGGAAAAAGCACATTCTTTTGTTGAAGAAAACATTGAATAATTCATTACGATATTTTTATTTTTTACGTTATTTGTGTTCTCAAAAGATTTTACGAGTCTTGTATTTTTCACTGATTAGTAGTAGGCTAAATTATGGATTATTCTGCTGGGGAGGAGCTTTTGACAGAACTTTAAAACCAATTTATATTTTGCAAAAGAAATTTGTAAGGATTATTAAACGTAAAAATCGAATGGAACCCTCATGGCCTGTATTTTTAGATCTAGGTATTCTTCCATTGAAACACATGTTTGTTTTTAAAGTTTTAAAGATTTTCTATGTTATGAGTGGTAACATACCTAAATTACAGAATCCGTATAAAGTTAAATTGAGGAAGCAAGAATCGCTAGCCGTTCCAAAACCTAATTTATCATTTTTTGTCAAAAGTTATTGTTTTCTAGGTCCAAAAATCTTCACTAAGCTTCCAGAAGCCATAGCAAATTCTAAAAACTTGTGTATATTTTTAAAGAAAACAAAAGCTTGGTTACTTGGCCATGAAAATATTAACTCAATTTTAAATATAGAGAAATAATTGTTCATTCTACATTGTTTTGGTTTAGAACACTATATGTTTTATTTAAATATTTTGATTTAGTTTGTATTTATTAGGTATAAGGGAGACCAACGTTTTTTTTAAGTCAAGACTTATTTTAGAATGATACTCTTTTGCGCATTGATTAGATTTATTGATATTGATGGAACCTCCACACAGGCTTTGCCTTGGAGGCCCTAGATATTTCTGAAATATTGCTTAACATGTGTGCACAGTAAAATTTTTTAGTTTATTTGTGTTATTAGAGTAAAGTATCACTTTCAACTTTTGAACAGGATCCTTTTTTTACATTGAGGCTTATAGTTTAAATTATGGTTTGTATTCTAAGTTTATTTAATAGTGATTTCATAACCTGTATATTCAGCTATTATTACTAACAAGTTATTAATGTAAAAACCTTTGTAAGATTACTTATAATAGCGTAATATATTATACTTTACGTTGATGATAGTGTACTGAGAACTGTGCTATGTATTGTTGTAACTGTAATTTTTCAGAAATAAAAAACATTCATTCATTCATTCATTCATTCATTCATTCATTCATTCATTAGCACAACCGGGGAATTTGGTACAGATGTTGGGTGTACCTTTCTTTTGAACATACTAAAAGTCCCCTAAAATTGAAGCTGTGCTACGGCCGCCATATTGGAAAATGGCGGCATATTTCTGTATTTTTCACTATAGTGACTTTATTATTAGAGATACAGGAAAAAGCTAAATATACAAAATGTAGGTCATCTAAAAATACACATTTTTTGTATTTACCATCTTTCTCTAAACCCAACGGTTTTTTAGTTATTTGTTATTAAGTATATTTAGTTTTTTCTATTTATCAAAAAAAGGTGAAACACATGGAAATTGACCGTTACTTTCAAGGATTATGATAATTTATCATATTTAGTTAAATAGCGTGATACTATAAAATCTAAAAATTTAAGCTTATTTTATGCGTAAAACAACTCCGCCACAGCAAACCTGCAGACTCAGCAAATTTCCATTTGATTGGATGTTTTATTAAAAAATGTATATAAATAAAATTAGGTTCAACGGGTACCTAGGTTTGCTGCTACAGGAAGGTTATTATAGTGTTTTTTTTTTATATCAATACCTTACTATAAAATAACTAATTTTCCAAGTTTGATCAAAATATATCTATAAACAAGCAAACTGCAACGGTTAACTAATTCATAAGAATAGCATGGGAGTTTTAAATTTACAATAAACAAATTTTGGTTGTAATTACTAAAAAGATGGCGATTATTCGTCACGATTAGAATATTAACCAAATGGGTTTTCAAAAGGAGATGGAGCCTGTTATTTAAGTAATATTAATTCGTACCAAGCACCGAAAATATTGTATGCAGTAAGGTAATCTACCATATTTTGTAAAGTACGCAATAGTCATATTAATATTTTATCTTATTTTTTATCCATTTAATAGTTAACATTTTAGTATTTTGATGGCACCACCACACTAACTAACTATACTTGACATCCCATTGTAAATTTGGAAGGGTGTTTTTCGTGTCTAGTTCATGTTGGTGACTAATTAAGCATGGTATAGTTAGTTTTATTTATCAAAAATTGGTGAAACCCATCGCAATCGACGGTTACTTTCAAGGTTTACGACAATTATTCATCCCACCTAGTTGATATCAGAGTGATAGTGGTAGTGCCATCAAAATATTAAAATGTTAATTTATTAAATGGGTACAAATGAGTATAAAATATTAATATGACTATTGCGTAGTTTACAAAATATGGTTGATTTCCTCACTCCATACAATATTTCCGATACTTGGTACGAGTTAATATTACAGTACTTAAATTACTTGCTTCATCTCCTTTTGAAAACCCCTTCTGTTAGTATTCGAATCGTGACAAATAATCGCCATATTTTAGTAAACACAACCAAAATTTGTATATTTAAA